ATTAATCACTGTTTCATTTCTAAATATGGTGATACTTTCATTTTATATCGTAAAATCTTTATAATGATATTTTATCTGCATCATAATTCTCATGAAAAGTCAGTGATTGTTCTGACTTTCACCAGTGTGATCTAAAAAGGGGTACACATCTGTCTATGCCAATATACATCTTAATATGATAGCTTCTCACCTGTATATAGGAACATGATAACATAAGATATGAGTATTGGAACAGTGGAAATTGCACCTTGAGCATTCCTAAAGAAACATATTAGCCACATAAGTCCAAATTTACCCAAAATCAGAGGGGAGTGTTAGCAAACTGCTCTGTGCATTGGATTTATACCCAATGCTACCCAAAGGAGTCTCCGAGCGGCTTACACACTCCTTTCCCTTCCCCTCCCCACAACAGACACCCTGTTTTTTTTCAAGAACAGTTTTTCAAGAACAAGGTTTTCCAGAACAGCTGTGCCAGAACTATGGCTTGCCCAAGGTCATCCAGTAGGTGCAAGTGGGGGAGTGGGGAATCAAACCCGGTTTTTCCAGATTAGAGTCCGCGCACTTAACCACTACACCAAACTGGCTCTCCAGGGACTTAAGTACATAATGCAACATTAGATTATTCCATAGTTTAGAACAATGTTATGATATGCTGTATTATTATGATGATTATTAATGATTATGCCAAAGAGTATTCAGTAATTGTAGTATAGTTTCTGGAGATTCATAAATGGTCATCTAGCCTTGCACAGTTTTCTATTCTGTTAATCACAGGAGTTCATAGTAGTAACAAGTATGGCTGTTATATGGTTATCCTGCAGCAGCATGCCAATATAAGTCATTAAAACATAGCTGTGAAATAACTCATTGTTAAGATGTCCATTATCTATACTTAGGACTATAGATATTCATCTGCCATTGTTTAGTATTGTCATTTGTGTTTGCATAGCCATTTTGAATTTTTACATGGATGCTACTTGCATAAGAAACTTCTATATCATTTGCAGATGGAATAAGCCCCAGGTTTGAGTCCCCACTCTGCCAGGGAAGCTTGCTGGGTGACCTTGTGCCAGTCACACACTCTCAGGGTTGTTGCGAGGATAAAAAGGAGGAGAGGAGAACAATGTAAGCTGCTTTGGCTGCCTGTCGGAGAGAAAGGCAGGATATAGATAAAGTAAATAAATAAAACAGCCACAGTCACCATGATGGGGATCCCTGCTTTAACACATCACATCCTCTCTTTCCATAATGATTTTCTCCCAGTCTGCTTTTATATTAACTTGTCTGCAGCTTTTTCCATGTGAAACCAGGCTCTGAGTGAAGAAAAATTCCTCTGCTGTTGTGTGCATTTGCTAATCCTCTGATCTAATTTGAGGTTTTGAATAAGTACACCAGCAGTTCTGTAATTTCTTATTTGACAGTTTTTAGGAGAATACCATCTGGGACTGATAAATTATTATTTCATAGTTCATCGTGCCTTTCCTCAGTGCCTTCTTCTTACACAGCAGTTTATGATGGTTCTTCAGATTTATCACCTTAATAAGAAAAGAGGAGCTCAGGTCTGGGAATATTCCCAACTTCTGTGCCATGAAGACAGTAGTTGCAGATTATTCATGTAATGTCTCAGGAATCTGCCTTGGGTAGTCCTTTTCTCCTTTCATGCTTGTATAGTTTCCTGTTTTTGATGCATAATGAACTCCCCTTGTATTAGACATTTTACCATAAAGTCTGATGTAAAAGGAGAGCAAAAAATCTTTGTGTAAAGACAGTGATAGTACACCATTACACGTTAGTCAATGAAAAGGACCTGTCTATAGTATTAATTAGGAGTGTGCTTTTTTGTGTGAATACCACTTACTGTTTTTAGAAGATTTTAAATCACTCACTGTCCTCTCTAGAATACTAACATACAAAAGAATCGTAGTATACAATTTTAGTCACTATTTGTGCAGGTGATTGGCTACTGGGGGACTACACAAGTGCCCATGACCCATGAATCTTCCTTTTCTCTTTTTGTCAATATCTTTATTTGCAATAATTGTTCTTGTTCAGTCAGGGTTCTCAGAGCTGGTTCATACATTACACTGAAATAAAGCATAGTGTGGTAAATCCCATTTCCACATGGGGGAATCAACACAGATGTTTGATTAATATTCCAGTCTTGTCACACAGACCAGAGCTATCACATAGAAAATATTAATGCCAGGCAAATGCATTCCATGGAAAAATTCCTCCAAATAATAATCCCTTGGGGCACAAGTGGAGCAGTCTCATGGAACACCAACTCTGGGGAGAAGGTTTTTGAAAACAACTATACCTCTGCCTTAGCAAATGAATCCCAGAGGGATAACTGTGTTAGTCTGTTGTAGCCAAAACTACAAGGAGTCTTGTGGCACCTTAAAGGCTATCAAATTTATTTTGGCATAAGCTTTCATGAGCCAGAGCCCATGTTGGTAATGGGAAATGGGAAATTATTAAATGGCTCTCAGTCTTCATAGGAATGAACATCATTAAATCAAAGGGGAAAAGGTATCAGTATCTCTCTCAGGTACATAATGCCCTGAAAAATGGGCCAACTTTCAAGTGGAACCTGCTTTTTTCCTCATATTTTAGAACTTGCAGACAGAAACAAAAATAATGATCTAGCAGTGTTCAGTGGGACTGTAAATGTCTTTGAAAGATGTAAATAAGGATACAAAATATTTGTAGAAAAATAAGGAGTTGTTTCCCTCTATTACATTTATACCTTGCCTTTCTTCTGTTATGGAACATATTCAGGCAGAGATCAGAACCAGAGTGGCTTAGTTTATGTGTCTTCCAACTGTACTCACCATCCTAGGTTCATTTCCCTCAGCAGCACTATCGATCAAACACAGCTATACATGGAAGATCACACAGACCCTGCAGCCTTATTTCCTAGCCTAATCAAGGTGCCCATAAAAACTGCGGTAAGAAAGCATGAGAAAATAGGTCTAGGTTTTCTGAGAAATTCCCGTAGTTCCTTAATGAGGCCTGCCTAGGTATCAGGCCTATTGGTCCAATCCCTTCACCATTCATTTTGAAACTGGAGCCTGCAAGCGTGCCACAGGATCCGGATAATCTCCTCATATTTCTTCTGATATGTATGTATAGTTGCCTATAAAACTTTCTTCAGTGTCTTCAGTACACTATACTTTAAGACAGGGGTCCTCTAGGTGGACCCACAGACCACCTTTCCTGGCACCCACCAAGTTTTTAGAAATGGGCAGGGTTTTTTTTCCCTACAGGGCTTCCAATTGGCCAGTGGAGAGCTGATTGTCTGTACAGTGTGTAGCAGTATTTACTTCACACTGTAACCCTGATCAGCACCACTGTAATTTCCCAACTCATTTCTTAATTAAAGAGTTTAATTGGAATTTATAATTAGCATTACAATATCTACACATTTTATATTGGTATATTTTCTTTTTTTCAGTGCCAATGCAATTAAAATTCTGATACACAGTCCCATAACTGTGACCCGAACTTTGTGTTACATGTAGCTGTATGATCCCCTTAGAGACCAACATGATTTCCAGGATCCCTTCATCAGATTCATTACACATTGACTCTCGAAAACTTACACCCCCAAACCTCTACAGTGTTACTGAACTCGAATCGACAGGGTGCCTTTGGTGCCTGCGCGGGAGGTTTGGAGTTTGGGTGTGCTCCTGGACTCCTCATTAACGATGGAGGCCCAGGTGGCAGCCACTGCCAAAGTCAGCCTTTTACCATCTGCGGCTGGCTCAGCAGTTGATCCCCTACCTCGACCGTGAGGACCTGGCCACTGTGATCCATGTGACGGTCACCTCGAGGCTAGACTACTGTAACACTCTCTACTTGGGGCTGCCTTTGTCGCAAATCCGGAAGCTGCAGCTAGTGCAGAATGCTGCAGCTAGGCTGTTGATGGGCCTCTCTAGGCGAAACCACATCCGGCCGGTGCTGCACTGGCTACCGATAGCATACCGGATTCACTTCAAAGTGCCGGTTCTTACCTTTAAAGTCCTGAATGGCCAGGGTCCAGCTTATCTAAGGGACCGCCTCTTCCCGTATGTTCCCTCAAGAGCACTACGATCGGGAAGTCTCCACCTCCTGGAAGTTCCAGGCCCCCGAGACATTAAGTTTGCCCAAACTAGGGCCAGGTCGTTTTCGGTGGTGGCTCCTACCTGGTGGAATGAGCTCCCGGAGGAGATCCGGGCCCTGCCGCCATCACTATTCCACCACCGTGGTACTGTTCCACCATCTACCACTATTATGGGGAGTATGTGTCGCCTGGCGGAAGTGGGGAGAACATCACTGCTGGAGCCCTCACTATTTAATAAAGCTGGCCGTCAATTTGGGATTACTGTCCATCTTGGGGATTTATATACAGGATAATAGAGCACCTTAAATACTGTTATGAATTTTATTGTGGATATGTAATATTGCTTTATTGTATTTTATCTCTTTAATTCATCATTAGCCGCTTGTTAGTCACCCTGAGCCTCTTGGAAGGGTGGGATATAAATCTCAAAATAAATAAATAAAAATAAAATAAATACAGTGTTACTGAACTTGAATCTACTTCCCGTACGACAGACTGACATGGCTACCCTGCTGAAACTATAATCACCACTACTGTCTCTATTTGTTGTTGTTCAGTCGCACAGTCGAGTCCGACTCTGTCTCTATACTGTGGCCTAATCAAGGACCTTATGCAAGTACCCCCTGGGATCTGCTTGTCCTGGAATTTGACACTACAAATTACACTCAGAATTTTACACCATGTGAAGATGCTTCTTTGCTTTTCTTATGGGCAAGGGTGCAAGAAAAAGGGGGAGGAAGGCTTTGCTTCATTAGACACAAGTTGTGGTTAATCACTTGTAGGAATTGATTGACTGCCTGTTAATGTACATAAGTCTGTATATTGGCACTTACTCATGAGTGGTTTATGTATTCTGGTCTCTGCAGACTGAAGAAGTCCTGAAGATTGATGGAGGGCCATGCTATTCAAACAGCAGGCGTTGCTGAGACAGAAGCTCCTTGTGCTAGGCAGCCTTGCTATTGGAAGTCTCCTATATCTAGTTGCCAGAGTTGGGAGCTTGGATAGGTAAGTCACTGAAGTAGCACATATGGGTGACATTCAAAATTACAAATGGCTTTAGGTGGGGCTTGCCCTACCCATGACTTCCTCCTAACTACTGGAAATAATTGAAAAGGTTCTGGCACTTTATCTTACTATTAATGTCCAGAAAGACAATCTGCTGTAGTATTGATTTTCATTGTTATTTCCCTTTTGTTTAAGGGTGAGGGAGGATATGGGTAAACTGAAAGAGCTGCAGCTTGCCCAAATGAATGCCTGTCTATTTGTATTCCATGTGCATAGCCAGTTGTTTTCAGAAAGAAACTAAAACAGCATATTGTAACAATGTCATTATGGTAGCTCATTTTTGCCTGTGTGCATCTGCTGGCTGACCCTTGGTCTCAACAAACAGTTATGATGTATTTATGCTTCTTCCTTTCTGAAATTTATGAGTGGGCAATTAATGTGCTACAGAGGTAGTTAAAATTATGCATGAGCATGCAGAGTTTGCTTGTCAAGCTTGGAATCCTATTGCGCATGAAAGATTGCTGCAGAGCTAGAGAATTTTAACTATGCTAATTAGTCATGGGGAGGGGAGGCAGCATGGTACAACCCAAATCTCCTCAGATTTCAGAAGCTAAGCAGGGCCAGTACTTGGAAGGAGACCACCAAGGAAGACTCTGCAGAGGAAGGCAGTGGCAAACCACCTCTGCTTCTCATATGTATGTGCATGCACATAAACAGATATTGGGAATATAGCAGTTTCTGTCACTATCTAGCAGAGTAAAGGTTCCTTCCTGACTCCAAATATGGCAGAGTTGGGAAGAGGGTTAGGACACAACTTCACAATATCACAAATTTTCTTTTGTGTGTGTGTGTGTGTGTGAAAATTCCTTGTGCTTCAAAAAATGGAAGCAACTAAAAAGGTGGGCAGGAGGTAGGGTGGGGTTAGGAGGACAGTGTGGAAAGTGGAAAGTATGAGTGGACAACAAATAAACAACACTATGTATCACCCTGCCTGAATAAAACTTTATTGGTTATCTGAAAGGGAGACATCTGCAGATAACCCCTTTTAGGCTTGCCAACCTGAAGACTTTCCACTGTTACAATTGATCTCCAGATGACCAAGCTCAGTTCACCTGGAGAAAAATGGCTGCTTTGGAGGGTGTCCTCTATGGTGTACCCTGCTGAGATATCTCCCCAAATCCTACCCTTCCCAAAATCTCCAGGTATTTCCCAACCCAAAGCTGGCAGCCCCTTTCCTATTACTGCTGGCTGTGTTCTCAGTTCATCCTGGAGCAGCTGTTCACCAAAACTCAGGTCATACTCAGCTTGCACCATGCAGGCAATTCTTCATGTCAGCAGTGTGTTCCACAGAGGCATTCAATGGATTGCTTTACCAGATTTTTTTTTTTTGAAGCAGAGAGGCCATTTTTCTGGGGCTGTATATAGAACACCTGGCTTATGCCGGATGTCACAAGTTATAAATTGCTCCTTTACCATGGAAGGTGTGGCACTGGCTCCACTGAATGTATAAAAACCAGTCACACTACTTTCTGCCACACAGTTATTAAATTGGAGTCTTAAGTAGGGTTGCCAGGTCCGATGATCGGAGGAGTGGGGGCTGAGCACTGAGATGTGCTGACATCACACAGAAGTGACATAATCATGTCAGTGATGTTGTGCAGTGATGCTCTGGTTTTGGGGCAAAACTCTACGGTAAAATCACTCTCAAACCATAGAGTTTTGCCCCAAAACCAGAGAGTTGCTGTGTGACGTTGCCAACATGATGTTGCCAACATGACATTGCCAACACTTCTGCACGATGTCAGCACATTTCCTTTGGGGGTGGCCAGTGGCAGGCAAGAGCCTGGAAAAGAGAGGATCCACACCCCCAACTGGGGAATGGCATCCCTAGTTAAGACATCATGTTTAAAAGAGCTTGGGATATGATGATGGAGCCCACTCCTTATCCAAACCACTACAAGGAACTGAACCCAAGAAAACACTAGATATCAGTGGGATTTAGGAAACTGCCCAGTCTAGCTGCTATGCCACAGATCCTGGCCAGGGAACTGGAGCCCATTAGGCCTGTGCTTCTTTGCCAGAGACTGCTTGTTCTTACCATCAGGCACAGCAGCTTTGGTGATTATTGCATGGCAGCTGGGCCATGGACTATCGCAGTGCTGCATGGTGCAGCATGGAACAGCTGAGTTATGCATAGGTTCTTAATTCATCCTTTGGTATCAAGACGTAGACACAAACTGCACATAGCAATTCCTTTATCACTCTGACTAGTCTATAAAAGGGTACTGGAGACAAGCTTTTGAATGAATAAAATGATGCTATGCAGCTAGTATAATATTGACCAAGTTAAATATGTAGTATTACACAGCAAAGTAGCAGGGACGGCAAACAATGTTAAGCATATTGCAGATGTGCAGACCAAGTTAAAGGACTCATATTGAAAAAACTGTCCAAAAACAACTATCAGACGTAAGGTGCTCAGAGCCGACCGCCAGACAAGCGGACAAGAAATAAAGCCTCTTGCAACAATCGAATACACCTAAACAATGAGTTAATCAGACCTCTATATAAGCGAAGAAGTCTTGGTCTGCCAGATCGTTGAGGGAAGAAGCGGCGGGTGGGGAAGGGTCGGAGTCCCCCCCCTCAAAACGGAGCGGTTTCTAAGCACTATAGAAATGAGAGAAAGAAAGAAACTAAACAAATCAGATGAGAAGATGAAAGATGAAACAGAAGAAAAATCCCCTACAAGGAGCATCAGGAACAACTGTGAAAACTCTAACTACAATTAAGAAACCAGAGATCAAAGACCCAAAGAGGTTTATGCAGAAACAACTGAGAGAAAAACAGGACCTACAATCACAGACTCAACTACAAAATGAATAGAAGTAAAATAAAGATTATTTCAATAAATGTAAATGGCTTAAATTCACCCCAGAAAAGAAGACAGATCTTTCAACAGCTGAAAAAAAATCAATTTTGACGTCATTTGCCTTCAAGAGACTCATATTAAAATGGCAGATAAAAATATTTACAAGAAATTTGGAAAAGCTTTTATTCCTTCAGATAAAGATAAAAAGAAAAGAGGCATAGTGACCTATGTTAAGGAGCATTTACAACCTGAAATGACATATGCCTCACAAGATGGAAGAATTTTGATGGTTCAAATACAAAGACAAGCCAAGAAAACTAATTTTGAATATTTATACAGCAAATCAACAAGAAAATAATTTTTACAAATCTTTACAAGACTTGATTTCTAAACAGGATTATGATGAAATATGTATGATTGGTGACTTTAATGCAGTATTTGATAAGACACAGGATAGAAAATCGACCAAAGGAAAACAGAAACAAGGAAATGAACTTCCTACAGTATTTTATCAATTAATGGAAGAACACAACTGTGTTGATGCATAGAAAGTCAGAAATCCACATAAATAAGACTTCAATTTCTACTCTGCAAGACCCAACTCTTGGTCCAGAACAGACATGTGTTGGATCTCATCTACTATAATAAGCGATATGCTGGAAGCTGACATTCTTCCATCAACATTTGCTGACCATAACCTGATTACTTTGGAAATACAGGATACACCTAAAAAGAATAGGTGGACCTTGAATACTGATATACTAAGAAATAGAAGATTTGCAGAGGAATCCAAGAAAGAATTCCAGTTCTTCTTTGAAAAAAATATCCAACCCAAAATCTCTATAAAAGCAGTGTGGGATGCCTTTAAAGCCTTCGTGAGAGGATGGATGATTAAAGAATCAGCGTACAACAAAAAACAAAAGATGGAAAATTATTCCCAGATACAAATTCAGATTAAAAAACAAGAAGAAAAGATACAGCAAGACCCAATGAGTGAACAGAGAAAAAAATAAACTTAAACTCCTGCAACATCAAATGAATTGTCTGTTAACACAGGAAATAGCAACGAAGATAAGATATGCTAAACAAAACTATTTTGAAAATGCAAATAAACCAACTAGATGGCTTGCCTATAAACTATGTAAAGAAAAGGGGAAAAAATACATAGTAGAACGCAAGCATCTCAACAACAAATCAGAAACTATTTGGAATTAAATAAACCTAAGCAAAAATTCAGAGGAACAAAGAAAAATTTTAAACCAACCAATAACATTAGATGAAATGTCAGAAGCTATAAAGAAACAAAAAATGGGAAAACTCCAGGCCCAAATGGGTTAACAGCAGAATGTTATCATCTGTTTGAAGATCAACTAATAATCCCTCTTTAAAAAGTATATCAAAATGTAAGACCAGAAGAGCAGACACCAGATTCTTGGACACTGATACATAAACAGAACTCTGATGAGAAAGAAATTAAAAATTATAGACTTATTTCATTATTGAACGTAGACTATAAAATTTATGCTTCAATTTTGGCATCCAGAATGGATTGTCACAGATTATCCATAAAGTCCAAGTGGGCTTTCTATATAAAAAAACTGAAGAACAATGTGAGGATGATATTAAATGTCTTGAAATATTATGAAGCACACCCAGAAAAACAAATGGTTTTGATTTTTTTAGATGCAGAGAAGGCCTTCGACAATGTTAACTGGAATTTTATGCTTGAATTACTTTCATATGCTCAAGCAGGCACAAATTTCCAGAAAATGGTTGAAGCAATTTATACTAAGCAGCAAGCAAAGATTTTGATTAATGGTAATCTATCACAGGATATTGAAATTCATAAAGGAACAACTTCCAGTTTCGGTGACTCTAATGGCGGGCGCGCTCCTTTGGAGCTCCGATAGGAGCAGCCCGTGACGCAGCAGATGGGAGGTGTAAGGGATGATTCTGGACACACACACCCCTGGAGTCCTTGGAGGGGACTCCCAACCTGGGGCACAGGAGGTGCCTCTTCCGAGGCCGCAGTCAAGGGATTGAGACTCCTCTTTGCCCCGATAGGTCCCGCCACCGCACCACCACCATGGCAACAAGAGGCGTACACTGGACGAGTGAACAAGTGATCTAG